GTGGCTGACATCCACGTGGTGTGTGGGGTGCTCAAGGACTTTCTGCGGGGGCTCAAGGAACCACTGGTCACCTTCAGCCTCCACCCTGCCTTCCTGCGGGCTGCCGGTGAGCAGGGGTCCTGAGTGGGTTGGGGGTGGAAAGGGGCTGCTCCTCCCCTAACCCCTCCCCGGTGCTGCCACAGACATCCCGGACGATGCTGCCTGCGGCACAGCCCTGCGCCACGTGGTGAGCAAACTGCCCCCAGCCAACAGGGACACCCTGGCCTTCCTCATGCTGCACCTGCTCAGGTGAGGGGCTCATCCTGGCATGGGCTCCCATGCGTCTGGCCCTATTTCCTTGCTCTGTGCCGCTCACCCAGGCTCCGTGCCCCAGAGCAGCAAAGCGGGACTGAGGATGAGGGTCCCCTCGGCGGGGGCAGCATCCTCACACCGTCCCCCCTCACAGGGTGTCGCACAGCCCCGACTGCAAGATGGATGTGCTCAATCTGTCTCGCGTGTTTGGTCCCACACTGGTGGGACACAGCTCGGCCAACCCCACGCCGCTCGCCATCATGGAGGACACACCACGGCAGTGCAAGGTGAGGCAGGGGTCCCTGAGGTGCAGGCTGTATCCTGGATGCTGCCCACATCCCCATTCTCCATCCCTTCCTGTCCAGGTGGTGGCTCGGCTCCTCTCGCTGCCACCCGACTTCTGGAGAGGCTTCCTGGGGACGGAGCAGGAGAACCTGGTGCCAACGCCAGCCCCGAGGGGTGAACGTGGTAAGGCACAGGAGCCCCAGCGCCTTCCCTGCCCTTGTCCTATGGCTGCTTGAAGGGTACTGGGTGCCCATGGCTGGGCTGGCGTGCGATAGCCATACCCCCTCTGTCCTGCAGAGCCGTTCTTCCACCCCATCGCCTCCCCGGAGCCCAAGCCTGGCCAGCTGAGCCCAGCTGGCACCTGCTGCCTCCCCAGCACCCTGCGGAGCTGCGTGGGCACAGCTGCCCGGCCCCCGTGAGTGCTGCTGGGGGTGGGTGGGGGGCCCAGGGGAGCTTGCTTTGCACCCCTGACTCATGTCTCCCCACGCAGGCCCGGGCCGGCCCCGAGGAAGGTGGGCCGGTTCTTCCCTTCTCCGGTGTAGCGTGCAGCAGTGGCTCCCGGGGGGCACGGAGCTGGCACCAGAGGAGGAGCGAAGCATGTGGGACCAGGCAGCTGCCTGTGGGCTCGTGGTGCTGAGCTCCAAGCCCTGCCCTTCTTCCCTGGGGATTGGGGAGGAGGGCTGGCTCTGCCCAGCTGCTGTGGTGGGAACACTGCCCCAGCACTGTACTTGGGGCTGGTCTGTATTAAACGTTTGCAGCAAAACAAGCCTGGCTGTGGCTGCTGTCTGTCCCTCCCTGCTGCTGCCAGGGTTTGGGGCTCACTGGCATGATGGAACCTGGCTGGGCAGCAGACAAGAGCTGTACTGACAGCGAGGGTAAGCAGTGCTCCCCAAAACCCCTGCTTTCACTGGGCAGAGAGGGGAGGGCAGGCAGAGCCCCCTCCTGCCCTAGCTGAAGCCCTCCTCTCCCTGCCCTGGAGCCCAGGATGTGGGAGGCCCCTCTTTCAGCCCAGATGTTGGCCTCAAGTAATCAGAGCTGCTGCTGCTCAGGGCAGCACAACCTTAAAGTGTTTCCAGACTTCCCGGCACCTCAGCGGAGGCCTCTTTAACTCCTTCCTCCCCTCCAGCCCCGGAGCTGGAGCTGCAAACCCCGAGCAGGGCTGGGATGCACAGCCCTCTTCCCTCCAAGAGGGGGAAACTACATGAGGCTGTAATGGAGGAAGAGCCCAGGAAGGGCTCATCCCCCAGATAACCCTGCTCAAGGGACAGCCGCTACAAGGGGAGCTTAGGGAAAAGGGCATTACACAACAGGGCTGAGAACTGCCCTGGTGGGGCATGTCCAGCAGCTGAGAAACATCTGTACTAAAAGCCAGGCCAGATGTGGGACACAGGAGAAAAATCCACGTACAATCCTCAAAGCAAGTACTTTGGCGCAGTTTCCCTCAGCACAGGGGTGTTCACCAGTGGGCAAGAAAATTAGCACATCCAAGGCAGAGGCAAAACTGAAGGAGTTTAATGTGCTTAAAGCCAGGGAACAGCTAATCCCCACCCAGGACCACAGGAGAACTGGCACAGGAAGGCACAGGGCTGGGAGCAAGGATTTACTGCAAATCCATCAAGCTGGGGTGGTACTGGATGGATGAAGAATCCCTAATGCGGTGCCTCGCTGAAGGTGAGAGGCGTGATGGGGGCCCTCAGTGGAGCGCAGGGCTTTAGCACAGAGCTCCAAAACCAGAGGAGAAGACGGGGAGGTAAGTGGATAAAGGGCAGTATTGGTAACCATAGAAAGACTGTGCCAGGATCAGCAGGGAGCTGCCTTGAATAAAAACAGGGTTTTTTTGAGACAGAGTGAGGCAGTAGATCTTTGCCACCTGCACACAACTAAGCTGATTACTCTGGTGCCCTGTGGATGTGGCTGGTGCAAAGGGACATGCAGCAAGCCCCCCAAACTACACCCATGCTGGTGCGGAGTAGGGTGTTGGCCCACCGGGGTGGCAGGGGCCTGCTGCCGCTGTCATCACCCTGAGCCTTGCCTAGGCAGCCTGCGCAGGTCTCAGCCTGACAGGAGCAGGCTCAGCTGGGCTGGCAGCTCTCCTGGCTCATACCCAGCCCTTGGGGGCGGAGGTGT